GTAATCTTCCAAAAAGCTTTCGACAACTGTGTTTCCAGAATTCTCACGTCAATAATAACATCGGAACACTTGTTTTTTAGATACGTATTTCTACCCGAAAACGGTAAATTTGTTGAGGCCGTCGTGCGTAGGCTTATGGGGTCGCACAGATGGAAGTGATTTACCAAGTTCGGCTCTTCTTCGATATTCGCGTTTCATGCGAGAAAGGTGTCACTATTTGCGCAAATTCATCGCAAATCCGCCAAATATACATAAAGAGCGCACGGTTAAAAAGATATTGTGTTCTGTCACAAAAAACATATTGTCGTTTGATTTTAATGCATCAATATGCCTGTAATGAATCTGAAGTAAACTGCTACCAGTGGAATGTGCTAAAGTTATAAATTTTACCAACAAAACATAAAGAACGAACGTTTCTTCACCCTGATTTATGCTATCAACAATGGTATCTTGGTGTGTGAGAAACGCTTTCCAGGCGAAAAAACGCGGTTTTGACAATTTTCCGGCATTTTTTGAGAGTTTTAATGATGCTTTAAATACCAAAAATTTTTTACACTTTTTTGTCTACAGGAATCACCGGTGAGCTACTATATTAATGTTTCGGTTCGCAGATTGCTGGTTTCTCCACGCGTGCGTTATTGATTGATCAGTTGATCGCTTCCCAACGTCACAAGCTGTTTGCTACAAAAGTTGAAATTTACCAGATTCATGAGGCTAACGTTTCATTTGAAGCCCTCAGTGAGCGAAGTGCCCTATTTAGAAGTAAATGAAAAGTTCATCAAATCTGATAACAATTAGTTCACAATAAACAATCACGTTCCTGCAGCCGGCGCTTACCCATGGAGATGGGTAGCTGTGTGGTCAAAATCAAGAGTCCTTTACGTCACTTCTTTTGCTTGTATCGACGTGAGCAGCAAATGTGATACATTCCGTGCACTTTCAGTATAATTCCAAACTAATGAGGGATATTTGAACGAACGAGCTTTTGACCATTGTAATCTTCCAAAAAGCTTTCGACAACTGTGTTTCCAGAATTCTCACGTCAATAATAACATCATGGAATTTAATATGCACAAATTGTTTCTTCCTTAAAGGCACAAGTAATCTTGGTAGTCTTTTTTTTCAATCCTAAACTCACACACCCACCGCGAGGTGAAATGTTAAAATGCGTTGTCGTAACTTAGGAGGCATTTTTTAATGGAGCTGATATTTGGTTGCCTGAAGCTGACCCTAGTACCTGATGAAAGAATACTCACTGAAGGCGGCAGGACCAGAAGCAAGCGTCGTTCATATTGTGATGGCGCTTCATTCAAGCGATCAACTTGCAGACCGGCACTTCGTATGGTGAATTATGTGTGCACCAGTCATCGAATCCAACGCTTATGCGGATGTGAGCATTTTGAAGTGGATCAGTGCAAATTATGTGTGATGACATCGTATGAACGGACTGCATATTCCAATGGTGAATGCCCCCACCTGTCTTTGGATTGATTGGACGTCGCACCACAGTTGGTGATGTTTACATATTCTCTGCCTTATACTATTCTGACGGCTTTGATTCCAGTGCTCACCTAACGAATCCAAGCTGGTGTGTCCAGGTTTACGTGTTTTATTAATTTCATCGAAAATAGCATTTGGTATTCTGTTCTTTCGGAAAAACAACATGTACATCCACATGCACACCTGGACTATATGCAAACCAGTTTTCTTTTGAGACTGATCTGTACACTAATAAGTTGCACGTGCTTGCACATATCATTGGTACCTTTTTCCTATTTTGATGTTTATATTTTAAATTCTAACTTTTAGCAATTACCGAAGGCGGAGGTAGGTGGTAACTATATGGTTTTATAATTACTAAGAGTACTTTCTCAACTCCGAAGTAGTTTGCAAAGGCCTCACGTTCAACTGTCTCTATTCCAAAATCTTCAAATGCTGCAAAGTTTAGTAAAAATGACTGTTCCACACGACAGCAGCTCAAACTACATGAGCAACAAAACATTCGCCATATCGTATTTGTCAAAATTCTACTGCAAGCATTTGAAGGTCAACCGTAAATTGTGACAGCAAACCGACAGTCAACAAAATCATTCCCACAGAAATGGCTTGAGAAGGCGCTTGTTATAAAAGACGAGTCGACCACATATATGTGAATATGGGCGTCAGCTATAATAGTATATCCTGTTTTATAAACAGGTAAGAAACAGTCGTTCAGTTACACTGCTTAAATAATTACCTGTAGCAATTAAAATTCCTGACATGTTAACATATCTGCAAAATTTCCATAACCCTTTGAAAGCAAACATTCGTGGATTTATGACATAAACGGAACCTAAAGTTAATTGTTCCCAACACCTTCGTTGGTAGATCTACAACTATATAGCAGTTAATAAATTAACCTTGCAAATCGCCCGACTGAAGGTGGCCTTGTCATGCGTTGTTGTCGGAGAGCAACGCCCGAATTCCGTAATAATTTAGAGATATTTTCTAGCCTAAACCCTCAACAAATTTGTGATGAGCGAATCCCGTACCTTCGTTTCGGGGGATTATTGCACAATCTACGCATAACACTCCGTAAAGGAGAAGGCAATGTTTTGGAATAAGTCAAAACCAATCTTGCACAGACTTGCAAATTTTTCGGTTCGTGTATATCTTCCCGTTTCTTGGCGCATCATTTTTCCTGCACACTAGCTCGACGACAGCTCACTCAATGGATTCCGGGCTGGCTATTCGTTAGCTTGGCCGTCAAGTAAGTGTAAAGACCATGCAGTTACTTGAGTGGGTTACAATTGCTATGAAGTTTCGAGTACTCCGCTTTTCCAGATAAGTAATGCTCAACAGCAAACGGTTGCGTGGCAGCGTAAGTAATATCTACTAAGCATGTCGGTCACGTTTGCTCAGCAAATTGCGTAGTGGTTGGCGTTTGTTTCTACAATATTCGGACCGCGTTTACTGTATCCAGTAGTTTACATTGCCATAACACCGACAAGGAGAACCACAGTGATTAAAACTTGAAACTATTGACCGCAGTTACCTGACCTCCGTACATTTCAAGCCAAAGTTGTTAAGGTAGTATTCGGGAAAACCGAAGGTGTTCTGATTATGACAAAGCACCGTTCACAACAAGAGGCACACAGGATGTCTTCTCCCGACATGGCATCTATTGTATAAACACACATCCTCGAGTGAGACAATCTGGCTGCCACAGTTTATGGCGTAGTCTATCGGCAAACAGGAGCTGAAACGAGGCATCGCCTAATTCACAAGCAAGTGCTCTCTTTAATCAGAGGCCTAGGACACTATCTGTGGAAGCTTATATCAGAACAATAAACGGATTTTATGATAGCCAAGTTGCACCAATGAACAACGCTACGGTGGATATGCACGGTAGTAACCTTACACGGTCATATTTAATTACAAAGTTCACACCAAAACGTATTATGTAAATCATCACAAATCGCTTGGGCGCCTCATCACCTAAAACGGCTCTTGCGCCTAATCCGTAGACAAAATCAGGACGCTCCGATTTTCTGCGAAACAAATTTCGTCTTCATAACGCACACTAAAGTACATCCTTCCCACATGCGTGCACTTAAATTCTGCTTGCTTGATTCAGCTATCTTAGCAGGCTTTTATTCATCTTCATGGCGCGCCGATGCAGAATGTCTCGTGCTAAATTTTCTATATCTTCCATAATGAGCTCTTTGATGGAATACCGGTTTAGGGTCCATTATTTTGCTGATTTGTCCTTTGGCAGCCAATTTTTGTCCGTGTGCACATGTTGAAATTATTAAGCTGCCTTACAAACATTAGGTTTCTCGTGTTGTGCATCAAAGCCATTGAAAATACGAGAGTGCTTCCTTCACTTCTTTTTATTTGCAGGGCTATGGGCCATTTCTAATTCTCATGTGAGGACGGACACGGGTTGCTGTAGCAGGCCATGTTTCAAGCTTCTGGCTTCATGCATCTGACATGAAATAGTTGTCATTTCTTACAAAACGTTTAACCGCTCCTAATGTTTTCTGGGTCATTTCGAACTGCGTCATCAGCAGTCGTGCTTACTCTTGTCTCCTGGTAACAATATATATTATGTACCTCGTGCATTTCAGTGGTTTTATAGAACTATTGGTCATAAGGTAACAAAGAATGGGTTCTAGAGCTGTTTGATTTTTTTTTGAATCATAGCTTTGTAGCGTATATTGATTGCAGACGTTCCTGAACCATAAACAACGCTAACATGCGTATTACCATGTTACGGTTTTCAAGTCCTAACCACCGCACACGTCAATGAACAGTTCCTTTGGCAGGCGCTAATCCACAAGGCGGAAGGATGCAAAATGCGTTGTGATTTCCTCAGGTTAGCCTCTTCTGCATGCATATCCAATGCGACGCAGGGATTTACTCTCGAAATTTCGGTCTACGTGAATCAATCCAGCAATTTTAATTGAAGCACGACTAGTACCAGCTGACACTACTACAGAATTGTTTCCACGTTTAACAATAGTCGTTTAAGGGCGCAAACGAAAACAAAAAGCTCATATATAACAAGCATAAACATTTGCTGCAGATGCACCCAATACATCGCATTTGTGGCCTAGAATGGCTTTTACTCTACTTGACATAAGAGACGGGTTTTTGAAAGGTAAATTGTTTCCGATTTGACAAAGCTCTCTCGAAGAAACAGGACAACATTTAGTGAATCCAAAATTCTGGAACTATTTGGGTTTGCGACGACGTTTGGACTAGTCTACCAATCCTGTGCAACCAAGTGCCCTCTAAGACGCATCAATCATTAAATTGCCCCACAATGCTCTGCGTGATTGAATCCAATTTTTATGGAGGGTCCTGTAGAGTCACGGTGTGGACATTATCAAGGCTACTGTGGGCAAAGTGTTTCTACTCATAAAATGTTACGGCAAATTGACTGTCTTTAACTTTTTGTCTTCATTAGCGGATGCACATAACCAGTAAAAATTCAAGGCCGGCATTTTCCCCCTCAGCGATGTCGGCAAAAGCCTGCTTGAGTTTTTGACTGTTGCCTTCAATGAAGACAGCAGCCGATGGGCATCTGTGAAGTTTGTGGAACGTTGGCTGTTGGAGGAACTTGAGAAGCTTAGCTGAACTCCCACCAGGATAGAGAGCCAAAGGGTGGTCTCAGACTTCGACACTGAGAGCTTCCGTTGTCTATGCTCACACCAACCAAAATAAAACAAACCTCGATAAATAATCAGAAATTCTGTCATTGTTTGTTGAGAAGACTAAACCGACCAACCCGCAGTCACTTTATCTGGTAAGTGGCAACTGGGAAAAGATGGATCATGGAAAAACACATTTTAATCACTCTGGTTGGGGGACGCTTCCAGAAAGAAAATGAAACCAGATGACCAACTAAATACCAGCCGCAGCCATTTAACCCGAGTTTCCGAATTCCGGAAATTCCAATACTTGTGGTAACATATATCCTTTTTGGTATTTGCGATTGTTGAAATATAGTGGCATTCAAAAATACCGGGGTACCTTCTATAATATCCTAACCACCCGCAGTAGGGCTTATAATCGCAAGTAGACTAACCTTGGTGATGCATACGTGAAACGAAAATCATAATTGACGCACGCTACAGTTTGGATGTTACACGACAGTTATTTTACTATCACTACAAGTGGATGGCCGGCATTTATTAGAGAATCCCAATACGCGGCGGCTCCACAGTGGCAAATTACGCAATGGGGGAACGCTCAAAATAGCACAGTCTGGCCGACAAACGACAATGGTACAAATGACCCGGCGGATTTAACCAATGAAGTGCCTATAAAATGGACTACTCCACGGCATATAAGTAACCAAACACATGATTTTGTTTTACTCGAGAAGCTGAAATGCTAGTGAGGAGGCACTGGTGTCCAAATGTTGCAAGGAGGCCTCGTTTTATTAAGACCTTGCTGATGCATACTCCCAGACAAACTGCTAAATTTGTGGTCGATTATTTAAACTATAACCGTTGATTTGGCTTTCGTTTCGGGGAAATCAGCAGCTCTTGCGCGCATGTTTCAGCCAGCTCGGCAGTTTGCGCACAAGCATAAACAACAAGTTTTCTGTGTCCTACGAAATACAGAATATTAAATGACATTTACCCGGGGAAAAAACCTCGGCGGTTTGCCGGAAATAAATAGATTGGGGAGGTTATTGATATGCTTTATTCTAGCCAAGCTATTTATCCTCAAAATTTCGCCGCGTAAACTGAACAGGCGGTACCCACCTTGTTCACACAAGCGTACATGCCAAAACGGCAGGTTAATGTGTCACGGGTTTTGATAATAAATCTGCTATACTGACGGAGGAAACTTTCAAGTTCATCACCCAATCCGTTTCGCAGAATAGAAAATCAAATTCATTGGCAGGAATCTTCGAGATAGATTTGACTGAGTGGAACGAAATAGTGAGTATCGAGCACTTTCACTTAAGCATAACGCACTGCAGGAAGATCAATAGGGGGCTTGCGCGCACCCATGGAGATCATTACGTGAACTACTCGAAACCTGCTAGGCAGATTTTACGGCCGAATATACATCTAAAAGCGTTTCACCACTTTAGGGTTTCACCAGAAAACAGCTACCTTGCGCAAATCCGCATAAGCCGGCTAGAAAGCCCGTACGCATGCGTGACAAGGCAAAACCATTTGCCTCAAACATATAGTTCCAGTGGGCAACAAACGGAAAATATTTCGCCGCGGAAAACTCCCATCACAAACTAACATCGATGTCGTCATCCTGCACAATGTTTATTCTACCAAACCAACGATACAGCTTCTACCTACAGCAGAATATGTCGCAAAACGAAGTAAGTAAACTTGTTTGTTAGCCCGAAATATGGATAAAAATACGAAAGGCTCAAACCCAAGCGCTTTATTTGTTACTCCGTCCAAATATTCAAAGTTGCGGAAGTTCTGATTCACTTGGGAAAAGTTACATTTTAGTCGAAACACCGGATAAATTCAAGAGGAATCGAAAGAGAACAAGCGTTGAGGAATGCAACTGATAAATTAGTGTTGAGAAATTTGATGCGCCATCGAACTTTCATGGCTTATATAACGCGGCATCACTTTAAGTGGCGTTTACCTTTGTCTGTGATCATTCAGGTGCATATCGAAATGACAACGACGTGGTCTACTGGTTGATGTATATACTTGCTTTATACCATTTTATTTCTGAACAACTATGGCCACCACATGAATAAATGTAATTGTTTTTCAATATTCCTGGCCTACACTTTCACGGAACACGTGCTTTAGCATTGCAACACATTAATTTTAGGCAGTAGTGAGATTACAAATCAGACTTCGACCGTTGATAACTTTTGGAATCCTTAAATGCTTGTATTGTGACGAAACCTCAAGTAGTAGCCAATACGCATCAAGGCAAAACTCCGCTGAGAACCACGATTTGTGCTATTGGTAATCTGCATATTCACAACAAACGGTGTCCTTGGGAACTTAATATATTTTGCGCAACTCTTCAAGTATTCAAGACCACTTGGGATCCCAATTTATTTGTGGTATGTTTGTGCGTCCAATGGTTATCCCTCCGTCAGCGCTTCACAATAATTTTTCGCTGCTGTACAACCAAAGAAAAGGAAAAAAATGGGCAAACATTCCTCAATCACTTCGCGCTGCTTACAATCCGGGCACCCTTTCTGACAATCTCAAAAAAGCAAGCATGGTTGCCAGAATATTGACTGTATATTTCAGACTAAACGGAAATCACCGAGGGTGCCATATTTCCCCATACTCATTTGCTGTGTTCGGGATAGTCTATTGAAAACAGTGCTCGCTTCGTCAACCGATAGATTGATGCATCACTCAATGGACACACATGTTCTTTGTAGATTGACTCCATACGTAACAATAAAAACTGCGCATATATAACGCCCAAGATGAGCAAAAGTTTTTAATTTATCATTTTACATAGTGATAACTTATTCCGTGATCGCATGTCCGAGCTCATTTTCTCCCTGTGTTATGAGGCATATTGCGCGCCTTGTGACAGAAAGAGACAAAACAGGTTAACCACAATATTGTAACATTATTCTCAACGGCATGTCAAAGAAAGTATATGCTGGTGCTTTCCAGATACACACCAGAATGTTGTCAGTGAACATACAGAAACGAGGAATTTAACGATCCTCAATCTCTCTTAATTTTCCCGTCACTGCATAGCATGAGAATTGCTGCTGTCTACGAAAACAATTTCATGCATGGAACCTTTAGCTGAGGTCTCCGTGTTTTTCAGAAGTCGCGTTTCCGATAATACAGTGGAGATTTGATTTTGACAAATATTCGAAACACCTCAGTGATGGAACATACCAGTAGAAGAGCCTGTCGATTCAGTCGACTGCACCGCAGGCCTCCGAATAACTAAAATTGCGATTTAGATGCGAGGATAGCAACGCTTAAGCTCGTGAGTTATCGTGAGTGCGTAATCCAAAAAGCCACTGACAGAAAATAAATTAAAATATGGTTATTGCGGTCGTGGTAAATGTGAGCCCCTTGAGTCTCTCCTGTGAACTCGCTGTACTATAGTGAGGCGCGAGATTATCCGTGACGTAGAGCGTTCCGACGAATAGGGTTGCTCAGCTCCGCCTGGAGTCACTGGACTGTGCAAGAAGTGGAACTAATCCTCACATGACTTGTTTCAAGATGTGTTTTCAGAATATTGCATGACAGAGGCGGTGTTTGGAGAATTTGTTCAATCAGTGTTTATTTACTTCCACATGTGGACGGACTTAAGCCGCAGTGCAATGTCATTCTACAAACGAACCATCCTCTTCCAGGGCTTCCCCGGTTTGTTGAACTGTTCTCGAATTCAGCGTTTATCTTAGTCCCTCGATACTTCAAATGCTTCTGCGAAATACGTAATCGATTACCGCGCATTCCACGCACCCTGACCACGAGTAAGTCGTCTTGCCACGTGGCTCGCTCCAATAATTCCCTTCCCTTTGCAACTTACGAGGAAAATCTTGCTACCAGAATGCACCACTGATGTTTCAAGTGATAATTGGTATACAGTGTGCGTGTGCACCGATAATAATAATAATAATAATAATAATAATAATAATAACAATAATAATAATATGAGGATTTTGGCGTTAGTGTGCCCAAATCCGAGGACTTTTGCGCGTCAGTCTGTGCCAGACGTTATGGATATATTTTTCTTATAAGGAGGGAGTATCAGAAAAAAAATAAGAAGCACAAATTGTTGCCTGTGGAATGCGCCAATCGTTCGGAGAGCTTGGTACGACGGGACACGCAACGTCTTCTCACTTCTTTCTACGAAGTAGCCGGCAAGGTCCCAGTTCCGTCAAACAGTCCTGAATGTAAACAATTCAAATTATTGACCATGGTCGGGAATTATTCGTGTCCCTTTTGCATACGCGGTCAAGATTCGAAATCAGGAGATGATATAATGCCAAGGTCATCGAGCTGGATTGAACAATTTATATTTGGTGGACTGCGATCTCTAACCGACGATTGACATTGCTTTTGAATCCCAAGTGCGACGCGTCCACGTGATTGTCCAAACCCACTGGCAGTATTTCCAACTCTACCCCGTGGCAATCGTCCGCGGTAGCAAGTTCAAACCGAAGAAAGCCCCTGTCGGTATAATGGCAATACTACCAGTCGCTTTTGTGCGATTGTCTTCCTATGGAAAACTCGGATTATCAGTGTGCAATAAACATGTGCACAGGCTTGGTCTAGATGGCAAGACCACCATCGTAGATTTGCCCAAAAATCACTGCAATTCTTCGCTAACCTATACAAGTAACCCAAGTATTTCTCAGACAATTTCATTAGCTTCCACTAGTGTATCCACATCAACAAATTAGCTATTTAACACAACGTACACGTACTTCAATATCAGTAAATTCAAAAGACCTCAGATCATACATAACACCCAAAGTGGGATGGCTTCATTTCTCAGTTTCGCTGACTAAAGGCGACTGCAATGCCTATTGTATACAGTTGTGACGGACAACGCGAATTGGCCGCATGGTCTTGTGACTTGGTCAGGGGACATCATAAATACCAACAGTGTTCTCCCAACAGTCGTATAGATGCCACATCCCA